TGAAACACTCCAGTTACACACACACACACACACACACACTGCTGAAACAGTCCAGTTACACACACACACTGCTGAAACACTCCAGTTGCACACACACACACTGCTGAAACACTGCAGTTGCACACACACACACACACTGCTGAAACACTGCAGTTGCACACACACACACACACTGCTGAAACACTGCAGTTGCACACACACACACACACTGCTGAAACACTGCAGTTGCACACACACACACACACTGCTGAAACACTGCAGTTGCACACACACACACACACTGCTGAAACACTGCAGTTGCACACACACACACACACTGCTGAAACACTCCAGTTACACACACACGCTGCTGAAACACTCCTGATCACGTCTCTTTAGATAGAAAACACACACATAACCTTGTTTTCAAAACTGAATGAGATGAAGCACCTTCTGTGAATGTTTCTGATTGGACGGTGAGTGCCACACACAGGAGCTGGGCTTGTAAAGGCGTTTGGTCGTGCGATGCGACAGCACAAACCTACTCTGCATGAGCTGCTGTCCTCTCAGAGATTCAGGTGCATTTTGTGTTGATCCGGCTCTCCTCACAGCAGCATCCCTGTGTTTCCCGACAGGCGTATGGAGGAGACGGGATTCTCCAGAGGATCAAGCGTGTGGCGTATGATGCCAGATCCACTGTAATGGTGAGCTGAGTTCAGAAAAACTAACCCAAGTCAATCATTATTGAATATGTAATGTTTAATAAACAGCAGTCGGTCTTTACACACAGTCACAGCTGAAGGTGTGGATGGTTATTCAGTGTTCTTTCATTATTTCCCACCAAACCTTGACACAATGGCACTTCAGAGATGTGAAGAATATGAGCTGCTGCTTAAAAGTGTTTCATGTAGAGATAACAGCCATAGCGAATGCATTATACTCTGGAGCGACTCTTATGTGCTCGTGAATTTGGAAAACTGTTTTCAAACTGAAGAAAAGCACTGACTGATGGCAGTGAATGAGATGAACGTGGATCCACAGCAAAAGAGTGTCGTGCCAGTTCATGCACCCTAAACCTATAACAACACCTGTTTATTCCTTCCCGTTAACCCTTAAACACCCAGCTCAGGTGTCCCAGGACATTAACCCTTCATTCATCTTTACGTGAGACCTCCACCTTCTTAGTATTCCTCAATCTGTTCATTATCAACAATATGGCAAGAAATAATACAAGATTGTGAAAGAATGTCTGTTGTCATTGAATGGTGTGATTGATGAAGCTGGTTAGCGTGTCGTTACTCTAATGGTCTGTCTCTGGTCTGCAGTCAGTGTTCCGCAGCTCTCCGCTGCTCGGCTGCTTTCTCTTCGGTCTGCCGCTAGGCGTCATCAGCCTCATGTGCTACGGCATCTGCATGGCCGAGTCTGACGACGACACGGAGCTGATGAAGAGAGACGGCTTCACGGACGAGGAAGAGGAGGAGGGCGAGGAGGAAGAGCAGCAGCGGCTGACGGCCGGAGCAGAGGGAGAGGAGGACGAAGACGCAGAAAAGATCGAGCAAAAGAGTCCAACTGAAAAAAAGGTGGATTAATGAGAAACGAAGGCCTCCGAAGAGGAAACCATGGCCTAGAGTCTCCTCACTGGTTTTCATTGGATTATTCGTTTTCTAATTCATTATTTTCAGAATTGCTCCACCAAAAGTCTTGTTTCTGAAATCTTCAAGACCAGTCATGGAGCTCCGCATGTGACTGTATTGAGTTACAAAAGCACATAGACTGTTTTAAAGTGAGCGACAGCTTATTAATAATCATTTCTGTTATAATGTGTCCTTATGAGCCATTCTGGATGGTCTCTCAATGGACACACGTCCTACTTTTTAAAACATTTTTGGATGAGAAAGTGCAGTTATTGTTGCATCAGAGACTTGATCTCCAGAGATTGTCTTACATGAGATGCATTACATTATCAAAACATAATGACTGCACACAGATGCTTTTCTCGTGCTTGCTGCACAGACGTGACCTGACCGAATGTAGAAGTCTAGTTATTCTAGTATGGATTTGGTAAGAGTGTGAAATGATGAACGAAGGCTTGGGCTTTATTAAATGCACTGAACACATTCACATACACACAGCTTTAGGTTCCGTAGATTTTTTTTTTATTTTGAACTAGGTAGTGTTGATCCTGGAGATCCTTCTGTAGGGTGCTATTTAACATTTTATAGCAGGTAGAGTCAGTGTATGTGTTTTACAGATATAAAGGCTTTATGTGTCACCGCTTCTCAGCATCAGTTACCAAAATGTCCTCAGAAACTGTTATTGCATTCATGAAAAAGGAAAGTGAAGACGCAGGACTTTTATTTAGATTCTCAAAACTACAGCGAATCACTGTAAACGGCTGTAAAAGTCTGTGACCGGAGACGTTTGCTCGTGATGAACTGTTTTATTGAGCTTCAGATCAGCAGATCTCAGACACAGTTACTAGACGGCGTTTCCAGTTTGAGCCAAAGCTGTCGTTACGCAAGAACATCCACGAGTATTTAAGAGCTCGCGCTGGATTGTAATGGAGAAACGTTGCTAACCTTGCCTTCACATTCCCCTCCTGATGCCTGTTACTGTAATGATTCTCTTATTTTAACACACAACATGTCTTACCGTTTCTGCTTTGTTCATTAAATGTTTCTTTGTCTCTCTCTCTCTCTCTCTCGTTCTGCATTCTTCCCTTACATCAATATCATGCTAAAGTAGACTTTGACTAGATTTCGTTCAGTTTTTGTATGTGATTACATATTGTTTAGGTGTTAGTGGGGTAAGATTGTTTGTCACGTCCAAATATTTATGAAGGGCCTATCATGAATAGCAAAGTTCTGCCAAAAACGATGCCGTAATGATTACAATCAATAAAGAAGTCCATGTTTGACACATTTTTTTGAAGCTGTAATTCATTAAAAAGCCTCATCATGTGAAATTATGACCAATCGTTGTCACTTCAGAGTCTTCATGCCCGTCCATAACTGAAGTAACTGTAAATGAGTGAGTTCAGCGTGCTCTTGTCAGTGTGATTCAGTCTCTGGAGGTCACGGGGTCACAGCACTGATCACTGTCTCCTCTCATTATGTTGCAGTTTGGTGTAAATGTACTTATGTTTATTTAAAGTGTTCCTCTGCTTGAAGAAGAGTTCATATGTTCTCTTTTCATTTAGAGTGTTGTGTTCATATCTGGGAAGGCATTTCTTTATTAATTAGCTTCTTTTTTTTTATCTTCACAGTCCATGTAGAAGAGTTTCATAAAGGAGCTTGGCATTAGGGCAGCTTCTAATAAGAACCCTTTACCACAAAGATCTGCTAAAAAGGTCTCATTACAGAACCTGTAAGTCCAGCTTTGAGCCTTTGTGAGGGGCATAAGGTCATAGTTACGCTTTGGGGTATTTTTTAATGTCCAGTGGATCAGTCTTTTGTCCTGTACATATTCCTGACTCATAACATCTGCTGTTTTCATGATCACATAACTGCTCTGAGAAGAAGATATTCTATTCATTGAATGAATCAAATTCATAGATAGCACTCAGTCTTATAATGGGAAGGGCTGGGTTATGTGAATGAAGGTCATTTTAGCATGCTTGTACAGTCCATGTAATGTTTGTGGTTTCTGAAATCTTTCCATCATGAAAGCAAGAGCGTAAAGCAGGATTTGGGCTTTTCTGAGCTCAGACTGTTTTAGTCTGGTTTACACCACAAGAGAGAACTGCAGTCGTATATATTTCAGAAACGGTACGTGTGCTCTGATATTATTGCTGGACAGAGTTACACTGTGATTTGAATGAAGCCGTTTCATTTGACATCAGAAAAATTTCTTCTTTTTTTGGAATGGTTTCTGTGGTGTAGAATAAACAACCAGGCCTGAAATGCGGTGAACAACTCTCTGTTTACTATTCCTCTGTAACGCTCTAACACACACAGAACTAGGCAGAACCAAACACGCATAGCTCAATCAGACATGCATTGTGATCACAGAACAGTCTTTCCTTTTCATAAACAGTGCTTTTCCACCCTTTAGTGGACACAACATTTCCCCCCCTCTCCCTCCCTTCCTCCCTCCCATGATCTCTCTAAACATGGAAGGTCGCCACAAAGTCTTTCAAGTGACATGGCCAGGATCTGGTACGCACTGGTTGTAGAAAAGTCCTGACATTGGCCTGAAGGGCCCGAAGACTGTGGGGCCTGTGAAATTAAGGGCGGGGTAAGGGACAGAGGGGGTGGAGGCAAAAAGGGGTCTAAGTCTTGCCTGCCAGCCTGAGGTGTTGCAGTTTCCCGTTCCAGTGGGAGGAAGGTATGTGGCAGATTTCCACTGCTTTGTGGGCAGACTGGGCTAGGTGCAGCTACTTTACAAAGATGACTAGCATGCCATCGAGTACCATCCTCCAGGAGAGTACCATCCTGCCCTGCCTATCTGACGAGTAACCAACAAGGGGGTAGACCAGAACGAGGCCAGTTTATTCCTCCTGTGTGGTCTGCGCACTCTCACCCAATCCTGAACTGCGATATCTGGTTCTTTGGCACGTCTGAGTCTGTCAAATCTCCATTTCATCTGGCGCTGCTGGCGAGTGACGTGAGTTTTAACCCCGGGGGGTCCCTTGGATTTGGAGGGGCGGAGTCTGTCCAGCGGCAAAGTGAGTTCCCTGCCCAACATTAGGAAGGCAGGGGAGACCCCAGTGGTGCTATGCTGTGAGGCCCGGTAGTGTAGTAAAGTCAGACGAATGGCTTGGTTGAAAGCGCACCCTTGTGCCAGGTGTGCCCTAAGGCCATTTTTCAAAGACTGGTGGAAACGTCCCACTCCCCCATTGGCCTGGGGGTGGTAAAGAGTGGTGCAGATGTGTTGGATACCCTTGTTCTCCAGGTAAGAAGTCCACAGAGACGAACTGAGGGCCGTTATCCGTTGTAATAGTTTGTGGAAGGCCCCAACGGGAGAACAGCGAGTCCAGAAAGTTCACGATGACTTGAGTGGTGACTGAGCCGGTCGTGATTAGTTCTGGCCATTTGGAGTGCAAATCATATGCTACCACCAGGTATGGCCGGTTGTGGGGAACCCCGTGAAATTCACTGCAGATATCCATCTGAAGGTGCTGCCGAGGACGAGTAGGCCAGGCCAGGGGTCAGAGGGGTGGGGGAGGTGGGTTGCCTGTTTTTCCACGCACAAGACAGGCTGGACAGTCTTTAACTAAAAGTTCGATTTCTCTGTCTATGCCCGGCCACCAGACTCTATCCCGGCAACGCTGTTTGAGTTTCACTATTCCCAGGTGCCCCTCGTGCGGCATTTCGAGCACATGCACGCGAAGGGTCCCCGGGACTACAGTGCAAAGCCCACGTGCCACACGTGTCATTCCAGCAAGATGGTTCATCTTTGATACGGGCAAATGTCTTTAGTTCTTCTGAGACATGTACGGGGCAGCCTTCTCGGACATAAGTGTGGAGCAGAGAGAAGATAGAGTCCTGCTCTGATGCAGTTTTAAGCTCCTGTAGTGATACCACACACCGCAGAGGTGTGTGTAGCAGCTGGATGATGTCTGTTTCAGGGCTAAAGTCTTCTGTTATTTCCGGAGCTGGAACAGAGCGAGACAAAAGGTCAGCCACCACGTTTTCATGGCCCGGTGTGAACTGAAGGCTGTAGTTATACTGATGGAGCCGGTCATACCAGCGGTGTAGTCTCAGTGGTCTGTGCCCTGTTCCTGACGTCGCCAGCAGTGCCACTAAAGCATGATGATCTGTCCTCAGTGTGAAATGGCGGCCATACAAGTACAGGTGCCATCTTTCGCATGCCCATAGACATGCCAGCGCGTCCCGTTCACCCACTGAATATCGTTGCTATGTTGGGTTAAGGGCCCTAGAGGCAAAGGCTATGGGCCTTTCTACGCCCTTCTGTACCTGTGACAATACAGCTCCGATGGCTGTGGTGGATGCATCGCAGGTGACCATGGTTTTACAGGAGGTGCTGAAGTGTGAAAGTATGGGAGGTGAACAGGTGCGCACAGCCTCCATACATGCCTGCGTCCACACCCAGGGCTCATCCTTCCGGAGTAATTGCCGCAGTGGGGCAGTAGTGGCTGAATACTGAGACAGAAACTTTAAGTAGTAGCCCATCATCCCTAGAAAGGAAGCCACCTGGGCAGGTGAAGTCGGTTCGGGGATGGACTGAATGGCATCCACATTATACTGGAGTGGGGAAATGCTCTGTGCTGACAACTTGAACCCCACAAACTTGATGACAGGTACAGCAAAAATAAATTTTTCACCATTTAAAGTTAGCCTGTGCTTGCTGAGTGCATTAAAAACCCTGTTGAGGCGCTCATCATGAGTGTGCGTTGTGGGCCCATGCGCGACAATGTCGTCAAGGTAGATGACAACGCCTGGTATCCCCGTTAGCACAGAGATCATAACCTTTTGGAAACAGGAAGGGGCAGAGCTAAGGCCGAAAGGCATCCTAGTATAACGAAATACTCCCTCATGTGTCACAAAAGTAGTCAGATTTCTGCTTTCAGCATGAAGGGGCACCTGCAGATAGCCTTCTCTTAGGTCCAGCTTAGAAAAAACTGGAGCCAAAGAATTGAGCCGTGAGTTCCTCCGTCATTGGTAGCGGGTACTTATCTGGAATAACTGCCTTATTGACTTGCCTCAAGTCCGCGCAGAGCACCAGATTTTTTAGTGGCCACCACCAGGTTTGAGACTCAGGGCGACGCATCCACCTGCTCAATGATGCCTCCTTGCAGCAGGCGCTGTAGTTCCGTTGACACGCCTTCACGCAGGGCCAGGGGAATACGGCGTAGAGGCTGAATGACAGGGCTGACAGTATGGTCAATGAGAGGCTGGTGCATAAATGAGGTGAGGCAGCCCAGCCCATTAAACAGTGTTGGCCGCTGTTGCTGCCATATTGGGGTCACAGCCAGGATAGCAGCCCCCTTCATGTCCACTAGGGTGAACCCCAGTGCGGTGAACAAGTCCAGTCCCATTAAATTTGCTCCTTTGTGGGCCACTTGGAAGATGAATGAGGGCAATGTCTTTGCACCGTAGTGCACAGTCAATTTAAGTGAACCCAGCAGCTCAATTTTGGAATCCCCGTAACCGCACAGGGCCATAGAGGGCGTGGCTAGGGGAAACACGCTGAATAATTGACTGTAAGTGCTTGCATTGAGCAGAGATACACTGGCCCCCGTATCCAAAAGCAGTGGAACACTCACATCATTCAGGGTGACAGTGCATGATCTGAATGGCACAAGTCCTGAAGTTACATTGTGGATGATGGCAGGTGGGGACTGACTGGTGTGCATCTGTGTATTTGGGGCTGAACGGCAGACACTTGCAAAATTATTTTGTTTTCCACAGTTATGGCATGTCTGGCCCTGGGCTGGACAGTTCTGGGCTCTGGTGAAATGAGAACGAGATCCACTATTAGTACAGGGCTGTTGTTGATGTGGTCGTCTACGCTGTTGCCGCGTGAGTTGCATTACGGAGTCAGGGGCATTTGCAGCCGCTTCTGCACCCCCGGTCGGGTGGCTGCTGGGCTGGTGAAGTTGTTTCCATAAATATCAATTGGCTGTGTGTTGACTTATTTTGATTTGTGAGAGTGGCCACACATTCAGCAGCGCTTTCCACTTGAAATGCTACCGCAATTGCCCTAGATAGCGTCAAGTCATCTGGTTGTAACAGCAGGGTTTCTCTAATTTTGTTATCATTGGTGTGTTCAATCAGCTGATCGCGGATCATTTCGTCGCGCAGCCCTCCGAATTTACAAGAATTCGCTAGCCCTCTCAGATTGGCCACATACTGATGCACGGACTCATCAGAGAGTTGATGGTGCCTGTGGAATACGAACCGCCGCAGCAAAATGCTCTGTGGAGCAGCGAAATGTTCATTCAGGGCCGTCACAGACT